GCTTTGTCCCATTGCATAAATTTCTTCGTTGGCTTTCTTCCATTGCATAAAATTCTTTATTACCATCTAACATTAGGTGTTTAGCTCACGCACTACTAGAATGCATACATTTAGAGGTTCCCAGGCAACTTCATTTCTTTGTTAAAGAAGTACTGTTATGCCTCCTTTATTACAATTTTAGCCCTCATATTTGGTGATTGTGATTTCCATAGGGGAAGAGTTGAATCTTATTACTGGTGAATTATGACCAAAGTGATTCACTCATATTTGCAATTTCAATAATAAATCATAAACAGTTATTCAAGATTCATTAATTTGAAAATTTGTCTTTCTTTACCACTAGGGGTGAGCATGGGTCAATTCAGTTTGGTTCCATGATAGAACCTAGAACCTACCTTATAGGGGTTGGTTTCAAGTTTTTGGAACTAGAACTTATCCTATGAAGGTCGGTTCTGGCCTTGATAGTTTCGGGGTCAGTTCCAGGGTCTACCTATGGAACATGATTTTTGTTTACTCTCCCCCTTGAAAAAAAAAAAATCTTTAAAAACTTGATTTCCAATAAATATGATATATATAGTCTAAAACTTATGTTATCTTTATTGATTAAATTGAGTAAGTTAATATGTAGACTATCATTATATGGTTCAAAACTTAAAATTTAAATTTAAATTTTGTAAGCATTACCTTTTACATTACTTATTATACACATTCAAATATTTACATTAAAACAGATGATCTAATCACTTAAAGTAACTCAATGGTCAAGTGAGACCATGGCCTTTGTAATCATGAGTGCTTGGATTCAAATCTTTACATCCCCAAAAGTATTTTGGGATTTATTTCAAGGCAAGTTCAGTTCTAAGGTAGCTTCCACCAAGGCCAACCAAGGTTGTTTCATCGGGTTGGTTCGGATAGGATAAACCCCTAGAACTTGGAACCGGCCTGGGTGGGGGTCGGTACCAAGAATTTGGAACCAGACCCTACCCTATAACAAATCAGGTAAGATCAATTCAAGGCCGGTTCAAGATCGATTCCATTCGGTTCTAAGTAGAACCTACCCATTTGCTCACCCATATTTGGCACAAAGAATTATTCAAGATCTCTCTCTTACTTGAACGGTTGAACTTCCTTTTAATTTGTCATACTTTAATCATTATCATGACAATCTCCCACATGCAACGCTCGCTTACTAGTTACAAATAAAAAGAGTTTGTTTATTTTTATTTAAAAAAAAAAAAACTGTAGTGGATTTAAAACTTCTTAGGCCATTTTTCTCCAAAATCCTACGTCTTCTACTCCCTATCTCTTTTGTTTTTTTAACCTGGCCCCCCAAAGGAAAATTCCTAACTCAGTCTCTAGACACGAGTAGACCTGTTCATGGGACGGGCCATCCCTCGGACGGGCTTTGAACAAGGTTTTTAGCCCACAAGCTTGACTTCGGGCCTAAAAGCTCGGCTCGATTTTTTTTGGGCCGGGCTCAGGATTTGTCAAAAGCCCGACCCGACTTTTATATAGCTTTTAAACCCTAAATATTCTTAAACCGACTAACCCTTCTCAGTTCTCATTCTCACTCTCAACTCTCAGAACCGACAAACTCAAGCACCGGCGCCACTAGTGAACTCCGGCAATAAGTCCTCTCTCTCTCTCTCATTAAGTTTGCCCACCTTTCCCATTTCCCTCTTTTCATCATTCCATCTTCTCACTCTCAGACTCTTAGGCATAGACATCGCTAATTAGGTTGTCTCTCTCTCCGGTGGTGAGTCCCCTCTCTCTCGTTAAATTTGTCCATAATCATTTTCATATTTATGAAAATGAAAAACAAACAACAACAAATACTCCAGTTTAGGCAATGTTCTGACAAAATAAAAAATTTCAGCCTCTGTACAAGTATAAATTCAACCCACATTTGGTTGAATAACTTTACATAGTTAAAAAGATGGAAGGCTGCTGAGAAAAGAGGAAAAAAATAAAAAATTTCAGCATCTGTACAAGTATAAATTCAATCCACATTTGATTGAATAACTTTACATAGTTAAAAAGATGTACGACTGCTGAGAAAAGAGGGAAAAAATGAAAAAATTCAGCCTCTGTACAAGTATAAAGCAACTCTATGTCATTACGAAGTTAATCCGGGGACTTTTCCTCTGGTTTCCGCTTTTGTTCATCCTTTAACGATTAAGGAAATACCCCAGTTCAGGCAAGTTCAGACAACCTGATGCATTGTTCTCACAATCAGAAAAGTTCACGCAACCTGATGCATTGTGGCAATATTATACTATTAGGCAAAAAAATCACGATGCAATCTTTAATAGAAGGGAAAAAATCTATCATTTTGTTAGATTGGGTTTCGGGCTCAGGCCCGGATTTCGGGCTTTGGGCTTTTAAGAAGAGTCAAGCTTAGGTCCAAGTTATAGGCCCATTGGTCGGATCAGACTCGAGCTCAGGCCTAAAAAAGTCCTATTAATAAAAAGTAAAAGCCCAGCCCAAACCCAACCCATAAATAGGTCTAGACACGAGTACAGCGATAACACCTCCCTCTTTTTTTCAAAATGGATTAAAATCTCCCTTGTCAGAAGTTTGTGTTATAGAACCATCAAAAACTCTATTTTGCTTTTGTTAATTCTTCGAATCTTCAAAATAGTAAAATCTCGCAGATTCATTGTTTTTATTATTTATTTATGTAACATTTTCTTCCTTTCTATAATTTATTATTAGCTTTCAATGTTCCAAGTTTGAAGACACCTGTCTAGGGATGTCAATGGATTGGGTTGACCCATCAGGTCTATTTAGGAATAGGGCCAGGTTATGATTTTGATTCTTTTACCCGAGTTGGGTCCGGGTTTTGGATAACCAACCCCGTTGTGTCATGATATTCCTACCCACTTCTAACTCCATAACTTTAAAATTTAGGATTTATTTTGATTTTTCTTCTCTCGATGATGAAAATTTTGATTTAAAACTTATAAACCAATTTGTAATTAAAAGCAATGGCTTTTGAATTTTCAAAATATGTTATAAAAAACACAAATAAAAGGATGTAGATCGGATCAGGTTGATTTGGAAATCAAGGTTCAAAATATCGATATGCCCGATATGTCGGTAGGGGCGTATCGGGCGATATCAATAGTGCTTTTTAGGCCTTTTTTTTATATCGGTTTAGAGGGCCGATTTAAGACTCCTCTACCCCCTGAACCTGTCAGAACCCCGATACACCCCCTGTAAGGATATATCAAGAAGCCACCGGCACGATACATATCGGCCCGTATCAATACTTTGAACCTTGTCGAAAATACATACTATTAAGTTAGATAGGATTAGGATTGATTCAAACCCATACCAAACAAGACCCGTCTCTCAAAACCAATAGAGCTGTTACAACTTACAAATCCATTGGACTCGGGAACAAGGGTTTCTTTACCCTCCTAATGTTGTGAGCACTCAGAAAGCCAACCTAATGTTGTGATCAATTCGATTTGAGATATGGATGCAGACCAACCTAATGTTGGGATCACTCGGAAAGCCAATACCATAAAATTTTTTATCTAGTATTCAGAAATCAATGGCAATGGTCGGGATTTCATTGGTCTCCCTGATTGGAAATATTCTAAGTCTATTATAATTTGCAAAAGATTATCTTTTCGACATTCTTTCTTTCTTGCTTTAGAGGGAAAGGGTAAGTTTGGGCTCCTAAAATTTTTCAATTACATTTTAACATCGCAACACAACTTGACCATTCCTAAGGAGGAGAGGTTTAGGCTCAGTTTGGAAGGAGTACAAATACAAATATGTAGTGTAAAAACATATAAAATAATACAAAATATAAGGTTTTGTACTGTACATATTTTGTATTTGTACTCCTTCCAAAGTTTTAACGTCCAGATCCATAACCCCCAATTAATGAGATTTGATCCCAACCAGCCAGAAAACCTATCAAACTGTGTCATATATGGTTGGTTAACTATTCTACATTTTAACCCTTGGAAAGGGAGTCCAGATTTGATGTACTTGGTGCGTTAAACTTCAACCTGAATGTCTAATGAATGAGAACATCCACATGTTATCTCCAACTAGGGGTGCAATTCAGGTTGGCCCAATTTAGCATTTTACACTGCTTTGGGCTAGGGCCTTTGAGCCAGACTCATTTAAAATTTCACAAAAGCCCAACCCAACTGTAGTGAGGAGATGGATGTCTGTTAAAGCGGCCCATTAAGGAAAAAAAAAATTGGGTACTAAAAGTAAAATGATTAACTTGTTTACTTGAACGAAAGAGCTTCTATGATAACATGCCAAGTGACACCCAATCTGATTAATTTGGATTTAGATCTTAAAACTAATATATGTTTAATAATTGTATGTTTGTATACTTGTTTGTATATAATAATTATTTGCTTTTTAGTTCATTAAAGACAAATAAGCAAATTTAGATTAAACTTGAATCCAATCCAAGTTTTGAAATAAAGTATCAATAACCAGATTGGATTTGGATTTGGCCAAATCCAAACCCGACTTGGTCATAGTAATATTTAAGTGAAATATCATAGTAATATTTAGGCCAGGAGGAGGCTTAAACCAGGCCCCGTGAACCGGATTTGTAAAAAAACAATAAAAAAGTACCGATACGGGCGTATCGGTTGTATCAATATTTAGAACCTTGTTGACTGGTGGAGAGGTTTTTGTCCATGTATCATGTGCTAAGAGACCGGAGGCTTTTATCTACTAACGTCATCTAAGAACTGTGTTGCAAGTTGAATTTGAGAAGGGGATGTATTAGTGCTTACTGTTTAGGGTGTTTGAGAAGCGTGAAGTGAGCAGGGTCTGCCTGTCTGGAATCGAGCTATGCGCCTATGCCCCTTACCATAGGAGTTACACCCAGCTAGCGCACAACCTGATCCAGCCCAGTATCTCCCTCACACTGATTAAATAAAACATTGATGCATCCCAATTCAATTTATCATCTATCACTGTAGATTTTGGCTATGTAAATTTTGCAACACAAAACCTGATACAAAATTTGCATCACCTTCCCCTCTACCTTCATTCTATATTGATCAAGTGGGGATCCTTCCATATATAAAGTAGGGACTCGGTCATTCCACTACTCGTTTAAACTCTTCAGTGATCAGTCCTCACAAACAAAAATAAAATTAATAAAAATCAGCCAATTTGCTCTGCAAAGTGCAAAGAAACAGAGCCTACAAAATGAAACAAAATTAAAAGCTAGAAACAGGAAAGGGTATCAAGGCAAAACGTTTGGCGAACACTTGTATCAAAATCCCTGCAAGTAAATTGCAAATGCTGGCAGCTCAGCGCTTTCCACCACCACCTCCAAGTTTGGGGCCCTTCGATCCAGCACCCTTCGGCAAGTTGCCCTTGCTCTGAGTCTTCTGTGACTTTGCCATCACCTCTGCTTTCTTTGCCTTCTTTTCATCCTTGGTCTTCTTAATCCTCTCTTTGATTTCCCTGCATAATAATATTCAAGACATTTAGCGTCTTTAACATTAAGAAAAGTTAAAACTTTCAAATGAATCTAGTTTGCCCACTACCAGCAGAAGCTACACATTATTAATAGCTAGAGTCGTCAGAAGAAAATATTGAAACATGGAACTAAACACACCGAAGAGCAGCCTCCCTTGCAGCATCTCGGACCTCTGCCTTCTCTGTTCTCCTCTTCTGGATCACCTCCAGGGTAGCACCCACTATTGACCTTGAGTAAGGTTTCTTAGTGGTACGACGCCTCTTCTTTACAGCCTCAGCAGCAATGTCCTGTGGGTATGTCAAGAATCAGATTCAGTGTCAATGGACATCAACGGGATTAATCAAGAAGCGAGACGAAGGTTGAGAGAGAGAGAGAGTTTCTACTTCAAAAACATCATATTACCTTCTTGTGCTGCTTCCTGTACATGGCCGTCCAGGTAAGCTTTGATGGCTTCAGTCGGTTGTGAAAATACCTCTTGCATTTTGAATTGGCAAAGAGAAAAACCTGTATTGATAAATCAGAAGAAATATCAAGTACAAATGGTTAAATCAAGCAAATGGTTATACACACATGATGCAATCCACAAGGAAGAAGAAGAAAGGAGAAAAGAGACAAGCGACATATTCCTACCTGAGAATCTGCACGTACAAATCTGATTCCCTTACCAGGATAAATCTTGGCACCGCTGAAGCGGCAGAGTTCAGTTCTGAAATTTCACAGGTAGAGAATGTAAGATATTTTTGCAAATGCTATAGAATCTAAGATTTGGGAATTAGCATTGCAGTTTCTCTTTGCAAGCTCATCCAATTGTACATATACCCCAACATTTCAGGTGATGATTTACAATTACAAAAGAACAGGGAAAGACAAATGTACTCCAAATTAATTATCTTGTAATTTGTTGGTTTCATTAAATTACACCTCCACACAAATCTTTAAGCTAGATGGGTACCACCAAAAGAGCTATGGCTACATCCTTAAAACTTACTTTTATCAAGTTGTAGAATGACAATAACAGTTGCACGCTGGTTTTGATCTCAAAAAAAAAATTACATTAAAAAGAAAAAGAAACTTTCTGGAGGACTTTTTTTACAAGTCACTGCACATGTCATCGATAGATTTTTTGAAACTTAGAAGGCCCGAGATAAATTTACAAAGACCACTCTACTGTACTCTGTAAAAACTAAGTCAAACATATTCTGACTACGGTGATAATTTATTAACACGTTCAATAAACTGAGCTGAAGAAATGACTCATCCTAAATAGAGAATTTATTAACATCATCATCGTCATCCAAGCCTTACCCCGACCATATGGGGTTGGCAACACGAATCCCGTTTTGTCATTCTGTTCTGTTTAATACCATACCCATTGTTCAAATATGGGCACTTAAATCATTTCTAACAACCCATGTTCAATTATCATGACAATGATAATTTATTAACATGTTCAATTAACGGAATCGAAGAAATGAACCATTCTAAATAGATAATTTATAGACAACATCCTTCGAGGATAAAACCGAAACAAATCATGATAATAATCCCACCGTCCGGAATAATTGAGACTGCCACAAGCTGTTGTTCACCTGAATGAAATTCAAATTGCTAAAGCAGTTCGATTATCCAAATCTAGGTGGTAGACCACCCATCAAACAGAAATATAAGTACATTTTAAGGATCTCATTAAATCAATCCATCGCTAAATCTAGCCACATAACCACCAAGCATAACTGAAAATTTTGGTCAAAAACTCGTCTCTCTCAAAAGATTATTTCCTGCGAACTTGACAGGATCAAAGTGCAACCATTTCGTGGTTCAGAATCCTAAGTAGAAACAGAAGATTTCTATACGAGAAATAGTTCGCATTGAAGAAAAACCCATTTCCGGTCAAGCATAATTTCATCTGCAAGTCCACAAAATGACCTAAACCTACGACGACTATTGAATATAATCAGCTGTTGGACATACTTAACTTCATTGAAACGTTAAAACATGTGAAACAGGGAGATTGCAAGCATCAAAAATAAATATTTCTATGATTAAAACAATGGCAAAAGACTACTCTAAATAAATCTCAACTTTATTTCAAAGAGAGACAGACACAAACGTACACACCGAGAGAAGAAGAAGAAGAAGAAAGAAAGAAGAACGTACTTTAGAACCATGGCGGCTGACGCTGGTGTTGCCGCTCTACCGTTCCTATCGTCCCAAAAGAAACCCTAAACAGGACGAACAGAATGAAAGGTAAAATAAAACAACCCTAAAGAGATTAGGATCTGCATTTCAATAAGTAGGTCATTTATTATGACACTCGGATTGGAATCTGTCGTCAAGAAAATTAGGAAATCAAACGAGGCCTTTTTCGTTAGGGTAAAATACAAAAACCTCCCCTTAAGTTTCTCACAATCATAAAAACGTCTCCTATAGTTTCACTTTAATAAAAACCTTCTCTTTATTTTTTAAAAATTCAACAAACACCATCCGCTCGAACACTGTTCATCTTCTTCCTCACAACGCATAGCGGCAGAATGGTGGTGCACTCCATAATCCGCTCAAACACTGTTCATCTTCTTCAACTGCTTCGCTATTAAAGCATTCACGGAGTCTCACACGAGAAATCTATAAGTTCTTCTCATGTAAGAGTAGCAAAAAAGGTCATCCCTTCATCTTTAAAACCCTTACAGACCCTTCTCGTCAAACCAAAGTTCCTTGTCTCCCTAGGTTTCTCTTATCTCTTCTCTCTCTCTCTGTTTCTTTCCAAAGATGGAGATGATGAAGAGATTCGGTGGACCTACAATCTATGCTTGAACGTTCTCTTGTGCCTGCTTTGACAGTGCTCGGCTTTCAGCTCTTCACCTGCTTGAACGTTCTCTTGTACCAAATCCGTTGGCTGATGGAAGCCGAGACCCCATCTACCCGTCGTCGGTAATGAGTGTGGTGGTAGGATTTTTGAAAGATCCGGCAGGTACCAAGCCTGCAACAAAAGTTTTGTTGGCATTATGCCTGGTACAATGCAAACGCAACGTGGCCGTGGAGGCGGGAGCGGTTGCAGAGGTGGTGGAGACAGTGGCGGAGCTAGAAGGATCAGCGGCAGATCAAGCGCTAGCTGCACTGGAATTGCTATGTACGATCCTAGAGGGAGCGACGGAGCTAAGGGCCCACGCCTTCGCTGTTCCAATGCTGTTAGAGATGGTAACGAAGATGGCGGGAAGAGGGAAAGAGCATGGGATAAGTGTTATGGTAGTGATTTTTGGAGGGGGTGGCTCCGCCAGAGGAGGTTAGCTGAGCAATGGTGCTAGCACCGCAGGGAGAGTGCAACGCAAGGGCGAGGAGGAAGGGTGCCTGATTCTAAAGGTGATTCAATAGAATGGACGACTGGATCTAACGGAGGACAGGTGCTAATGAACATTGATGGACTTTTGCTTCTTTTGGCATAGGCATACCACATACGTAGAGTGGAGTAGAGAGAGAGAGAGAGAGGATAGAAGAAAAAGAAAAGAAAACCCCCCATCTTTTTTTTTTGATAAAATACAAAAACATATGCACATTAATTTGTAAAAGGGTAAAATAGATATTTTGAAAAAATGATAATCTCTTTAACTTCAAGGGAGGTTTTGTATTTTACCCTTTTCATTTTAAATGACAAAAGATTCCAATCCAAGGGAGGCACCAACCTGCCAACTATGGCTAGCCACGAGGAATTAGGGTAAAGTGCATGGGCCAGGTCATAACTAACCAACCAAATTGATTAGGTCGGTTCCCAATTAATAATTGGGTTAGGACCGATTTATGCTGTTCTGAACTGATTAAGACCCAATGTATGTATTTGGAAGATGATAAAAAAAGCTTATTCCACTCAAAATCAATAATTACACAAGCATCCTCTCTTAACAATTTCTCAATGAACCAATTATCTGGTCAATAATATATAGAGCTATTTTGGTCTTCCTATAATAACTAGTGAACATGTACGTGCATTTGCACGTGACAATTCTCCAAGACAAAACTATTTACAATTTATGGGCAATTTTTAAACAGTTATAAGTGGTCAATTTCTTAACTGTTATAAATAGACAGTTATAAGTGGGCAATTTTTGGAGTGAGAGTAAAGGACATACATATATGCCCTTTTTATGCCATTCGTATGTTGCTTAGATAAGGGGTAAACATGTTAGTATAGATATATAGAGGTATTTGAAAGATGACCAAAAAGCTTATTCGATTCAAAAATCAACAATTACATAAGCATTCTCTCTCATCAATTTCTCAATGAACCAATTATGTAGTTAATCACATAAAATATTCTGGTTAAAAACACTTATTTTATCAATATATAAATAGTTTACTATTTTGTTATCATTTTTATTAAGATTATATAATAAAAAAATGAAATTATAAGTTAATATAATCATAGGTAATTATTGATGTTAAATATTATTGGATTTAATCATGTCAAATCTAATTATCTCAATTAATAATTGATTTGACTTTGATCTATTTTATAAAGCTGAGTAATAATTGGTTCCACGCCCATTGAAATCTATGAATGATGGGGCCATTATATAATAAACAAAACAATTGCATTAGGGATGGCAATTTTTCCTATAAAACTAGGGCCCTGCCTCAAATAGGACGGGTTTTCCCTGATATTAAATGGAGACAGGGCGGGGATGGAGAAAAAAAATTTGCCCCGAACTAGGGACAGAGGCAAGTTCGGGATTTGCATATAATTGCCTAAAAACTCAACCCAAACCTAATGGTAAATTTGTATTTAATATTAATTTTTAAAATATCTATAAGTTTTCCCCAAATTCTTAAAATTCTAGAATCCCATAATTTCATTTCTAAAGTACGCCTAAATTGTCATAATCTAATTCCTAAATGCCCCCAAATTCCCATAATCCAATTTCTAAAACATCCACAAAGTATATTATTTTTAGGTAGTTGCCTCAGGACAAGGAAAAATCAGGGATTCCCAATCTTTGATGGGGAGTGGGTGCCTTGCCCCAAACTTGCCCTATTGCCTACTAAATGGAAAAGAGTTTCAAATATATATATATAACAAAAGGTAGTATCTTATTCAAAAGCTTACGCTTTTTAGTGAATAAGTTTTTTAAAGAGTTTGTGGGCTCCTTGGTGACCGAAGTTGAAGTTGGACAAATTACTATATTTTTCAATATTTTATTATTTAGTCATTTTATCCACTAAAAGACAAAGTATTCAGTTTATTTTCAACAAAGTCAGAGTCAGATCAAGTAGTAAATTTGTCTACAAAACCAACATTATTTTTGCATCATGCATGTATCTTTTAATTGATCTAATCTACTATACACCCATTGGATTACAAATAATGGGCTTTATTATTTCAAAGAAATTTTCAAATTTCATTTTGAAGCATTTTTTCATTTTGTTTTTAATTCTTTTTTTCTTGTTTGTTTAAACTTCCAAGGGTTGCTACCTAAAAAAATTTCAAGTATTACACTAAGAAAGGAGTTTGTATAGTCCATAGATTGATTATTTCATGTTCGGACCCACCCATGCAAGATTATGAGGCCAACCCCAATAATATTTTTTTGTAAGATTCCTAATTATTGTTGGGATTGAAGGCCATGCCCAAGAATGGGGTGAATTGAGTATAGCTTAAAACATTGAATAGGTCAAGCTTACATACTTTCCCCTAAATCTAAAGTTGAGATTTATTAAATAAACATTCAATATAAATTGTAGCAAAATAAAGGCTTAGTCAAAATATTCAGTAGTTGTTCAAATGATTAACTTGGCCTTTTTTGGCACTACTTTGTGTTTTGTACTTTCAATATCACCATAGTGCAAATTACATGATATACTTTTGGCTTCGTATTTTTATTTCAATAGTTGTTTAGATAGAAATTTTTCAAAAACATATTTTTCAATATAAAAGTAATTAATGGTGTTTGAATACAACAAAATGTTTTATACGTGTACATGCCATGTGGCATCATATATGGATGTCATGTGACATTTGAATATGGGCCATTGACATATAGATGCCATGTGGTAGCATAGATTAAAGTCATGTGGCATACATGTGTCATTAATTATATTCAGATGCCACGTTGTGGCACATATATGCGATGTGCACGTGGCATTTGAATGTTTGATTGACGGCATGTGGATGCCACACGACAACATAAATGAATGTCATGTGTGATTGAATACATTAATGCGCATATGCTTCATATGGTATTCATATATGTTGTTAAATAAGTATCACACGTGCGATTGACTCATGTTTGACAAGTGTAAAGTAGGTCAAAGGATAAAAAAGCATGAAATATTAAAAGTTGAATTCGTGCTTTTCGTGTTTTTTGTTCTTTTACTTCGTGATTTTAAAAGAAAAAACATTATAAATAAACATGTTCCACTTTTCGTATTTTCATACTTTTGAAAGCATAAAAAGTATTTTCAAATGTACCACCAAATAGGGCCAAAAATAACTTTTTAGTGAATAACCAGTTGCAACTTCAAAACAAATAAACAACATGATCATGATAGTTGAAGAGGTTAACAATTAAATATAAATATAATAAGAAACACAAGTAATTACTAAAAAGTAAATAATTAAATAGTAATTGAAAGTAAGTGAAAAAAAATAAGTATAGAAGTTGCTAAATGAGTTAATAAAAATGGTTAAATAAAGATTCAACAAAAAGCAAAAATAACTATTGAAATGTAAAGGTAGCTCAAAGTAAATGAAGAGAAATATAATGGCAGTTGCACAAGATGTGTGTGTTGAGATTTACAATTGGAGAATAAGGACCAACCATAAATTTGTAACAGTGAAGATGACCAACTAATAAAGAATAATCATCTTTCAGGCTTAAATAGTTGGAAAACTTTTACCGGAATCTTAAGGACAAATTTGACTTTTGAGTAGTTGATAGAGTTGAATAAAAGATGAAGCAATAAATGTAAACAATTATAATAGAGTAAATGAAAAGCAAATAAATGTTAGAGTTAGCAGTTAGTGAAAGTTAGTAATTAATAAAGCACTCAAAACTGCAAAGCAAAGATGTATGTGTAGTATGGTTAGTAAAATTAGTAGGTTACTAACTATACTCAAATATTTGTATTTTGTAATTCAAAATGAAATAACCAAATTATGTCCAATAACTGCAAGATTAACTAATATTTAAGTTTAAGTAGTTAGTAGAAAAGTTAGTAAATGTTAGTAGAACAATAACTAGAGAAATTTGAAAAGAAATGGAATATAAAACAAGAAAAGCACAGAGATGAGGCACATAAAAATTTTTAAAGAAGTTTGGCAAAAACCCCTATTTACATCATCTATGTTAAACACCCTCTAAGGATTTCCACTAACCAAACTAGCTAGACTTCTGGGTGCTAGCCAACTTTGTAACCAAAAAGGGATTTTCAAGTACTTGCAATATCATGGTAAAACTTTCGGGTGCCTACCTAACCTAACATGATAAAACTTATCAATGTTTACCCAACTTAACTTAGTAGAGCTTACGAGTGTCTATCTAATCTTGAACATTGTTCAACTTAAAACACCTCCTACACTCAAATATATTATAACATAAGGTAGCGGGATATAAAGCCTCTCAAATAGGAAGACATAACAAATATAACACAAAAAATATTCAGTTGCAAGAGTATTTAAGATGCTTGACTCTAATAAGAGACTCAATAGATGGGTGACACTCTATGAGCTCTTTAGCTTCCTATTTTAAATCACCTCTAAAAACTATTAAAGCTCAAAAATATCTTCAAAGAAAAATAAAGACTCTTACTTATTTGCTCTATAGAAAAACAACTAAAGACTATGTACACAAATAGCTTATGTTGTTTTTTCTTCTTCTTGTTTGTCTTGAATCAAACTAAAGACCTTTGCTTATTGAGATCTATATGACAAGTGACCATTTTCTGGTCAATGAAGGGTTCTTGCCAAACATAATAATAATTCAAATTATATTCAATATGATAAAAGACTTACCAAAGATCACAATAGCCGTTTAATCCTTCAAATGGTCAAATTTCTTCAAAATAGTTGACTACTATATTTTAGTAATTGTCTACTACACAAATGGAAGAATCTTTTTTTTCTCCTTCATTGACCGATTCTTGTTATTCAATCAACTGATACTTGTTTAAACTTGGTCTATTAGGGTTAGTCGATTGTGCATTTTTGAGTAATTGACTATTACTCTCAAATAAGGCATTTCTATGCTTTGCCTGCTATGGATAGTCAGCTATGCCTTTTGAGGTAGTTTATTATATAT